CCTAACATTTTGGATTTAGCATCTACTTATCAGGGAGACCATGTATAAGTGATTTTTTTAAAGAAATCTGAGCATTTATCATCCTGGACCTGAAGAAAGTAAGGGAGGGAACATTATAGAACCTGGAGACAGATCGATCGGGTCTACAGAAAGAATATCTTTCAAGACTCAGCAAGATGGTCTGCCTAAAGTGTTAGAAGCAGCTAAAGGAGTTTCACTTTCCATTCTCCATTTTGTTTCTGAGCTCCCACGCTTGCTTCTCATTGGCCAAACCCCACTGAGAATCCATTGGACATAAAGCCTATGGGTATCTTTCCTTACAGCCCAACTTCCTGGAGATAATTGCCCTTAGAAATAAGGCAAATTTGGTGGTGGCGGGGGAAGTCCTAGCACAAATGTACAGGCAAGAAAGATGAATTTTAAAAATGTTTCGTCTCTTCTCCCTGGGAAAGCTGGACATTCAGAAATAAGATTGCTTTTTGGAAGTTTAAATGTTACAAACAATTCAATTCAACATGTTACCTTTTAAAGAGATGTGTTTCTTGCACTAAAATTGGAGGCAATATTAAGATATTCATGCATCCAAAGAAGATATGTGATCAGAACAAAGGTGGTTAAAGATATTGATGGAATTCTTATTTGATTATGAGTTTATTTTCCAAATAAAATCCCTTTAAATCTCAGCTCATGTTTAGTTTTGGATGAAAAAATATAGCAAGAGACTAATTCCAGATAGCAACATTAATGGATTGAAGTATGCATTCTTTTCACTTAAAAATTCTGAGATTTTGCATCATTTTGTGATCAATCCATTATAGTTTGCATTGATTGAAAAATACAGCATTTGAGTATATAAACAGTGTGATGAATAAATTTCTTCCATTATTTTAAGTGTATCATGTATGTGATAAACATTTAGTACTTCTCAGAAGGAACAATGCCTATTGTGCTTTAAAAAAAATTCTGGTCTCTAGCAAAATTGTGGATAAAGTCATGAAAACAAAGATATATACCACTCTATAAATGTTATGCCCTTACGTAGCCATCATGAGCCTCTTTTATGTTATACCAGCAATTATATCTAATAGCTTTCAGTAACTTAGAAGTTTTAAACACTACACTTTCAGAAAAGGTCATATTTCATACATTATGTTAAGCATTTATGGGAGGTGTTTGGCCTATGAGAATTGTAGTAGAAATTGATGTATTTAAAACAGAAGCGATTTCCTTTGTCATTAATTTTTATTTTCTGTTTGAGGATAAATATGACTACTTTAGTCAGTAAAACACAAAAGTATTTACCATGAAATATTACCCTCAGTAGGCTATATAAGCTGAATGTGCAGTTGTCTACTTGGCTCTGGTATGTAAGAAGGATTGCAGAGAAATGGCTACAGGGACTTGTTCTTTCACCCCAGGCCCCAGCAATAAGACACTAACCATTATTCTTAAAGCCCTGGTATTGGTATGCATGCAGTCACCCTTCCCTAAGGTTTTAACATCCTTCCAGGCAGAAGTGTTTACTCCTCATAGTGCCCAGTGTGGTCTCCAAGTTTTGAAGACCTGGGAATGCACCACCACATGCCCAGACTATCTTCTACCCTCATCCTTCTAGTCAAAGCACAAGTTCCCAGTCCCAGTCTCCTTTTTTCAGGCTCTATTTCTTTGTTTGCCTTATCCCGAAGTACTGAGCATTTCCAAAGGCCTGCGGGGAGGAAGGAGCTATTTAGATCTGGAGTCCTTGAAGTACAAAGTCATCGCAACTCTCCTGAAGGCAGTGGACTTCAAAACTCAGACTTTAAAGGTTTGTTATGCTTTCTATATGGGCAGAAAAAGGGAGGAATTATGTGTTTTCTTCTTTTTTAACTGTATTTGCAACAGCAACACACTCAAGACCCCAACTGACTGTTTTCATTCAAATAGCACAAGAATAAAATGACAAAATCCAAAGAGTAAAAGGAGACAGGTAAAATGATTTTATTAAAAACATTACTTAGTAAATGAAGAACAAAATTGTCTAATGTAGCACAGACTTTCCCCCCAAATAGTTCCGCAGCTAAGATGCTAAAGGAAACCAAGGATTCCTTGGCTCTGGCCTAAGCCTCCATGAGGGAGCACTGACACAGCACACTGATCAACTACGTTCACTAACTCCCCCCTTTCAGTAGGTGATGAAATGGAGCATTGCACTCCACTGTTGTTGATTTTTAACTAGAATTAACAGATACCTCTAACTGAGGGCTAAATTGGTTCTCGGAAAATGGCTTTTGATTAGGTGCTGTGTTTTACAGGCTGCTTGTAGTTGTTTTTGAGAAATTTAAAGGTTTTAAACTAATTCTTTTGGCCTGATTTGTTTCTATAAATTCCTTCCCTCTCTTTCTTTCACTTTCTTTCCTTCTTTTTTTCTTTCTTTCTTCCTTCCTTCCTTCCTTTTCTTTCTTCCTTCCTTCCTTTCTTTCTTCTTTCCTTTCTTTTTTTCCTTCCTTCCTTCCTTTGTTTCTTTCTGTCTTTCTTTCTCTTCCTTCCTTCCTCCCTTTGTCCTTCCTTCCTTCCTTCCTTTCCTTCCCTTCCCTTCCTTTCCCTTCTCCTTCCATTCTTCTCTTCTTTCTTTCATTCTTCTTCCTGTCAAACCGGAGGTTTAAGCCCAGTTGATAGGCTGAGTAAAGAATCCATCAGTGGCTTCCATTGTCAAGTGGCAGTACCAAGGTGCCATGGAAAAACTTTCTGGACAGGCCATTGGAGAGAAGTGTGTATGCATGCACTTGTAAGGGACAGTGGCCAAGAATGACCAGAGCAGTGAACATCAGAGTCCCACAAAAGCCAACTCAGCGAGGCATGAAGGAAGATAAGGTCTCAAGGACCCAATGATATTGCTATTCCAAGGAGTAGGAATCCTACTATTATACCTAAGTGTGGGCAGGAGCGTATACATGTGCTCAGATGCATGGGGAAGAGGAAATGGAGTATCCTAGAGCTAAACAACTCTGACAAAAGGAATGGAAACCATGAACTGGCATCTATTATGTAACCAGTACTGACAGGTACCTGCTGGCCTGCTATTTTCTCCAGTCCTCACCCAGGATGGTATATCAAAACATATCATGTGGAATTAGATACTTTAATCACATAGAATTATGGTATGTCTCACTGACCTAAAAGATAGTTTGAAGAAATGTAGTAATACCAAAAAAATCTATTCATTAATAGATTTATAAATGTTGATATTGATGCAAAATTAATACGTGAAGCATGTCTGTTTGTCATTACTATGATGAAATGTTGAATGCAATTACATTTTATAAGGAAGAGATATTTATTCAGTTTATAACTTTGGAGGCTGAAGTCCAGAAAAGCATAGGACAAACTCTAGTGAGAGCTGCCTTTGGCTGCATCACCCCAAAGCAGATGACAATGGAGTGAGTGATATGAAAAGAAGAAATCACATGTCCAAAAAGAAAGCTGAGAGCTGTTGTCCGACAATCTCTCTGAGGGCTTTCTCAAGATGATCTAAAGACTTCCCAGTAAGCTCCACCTCTTAAAGGTCCACAACCTTCTCACACACAGACACAGACACACACACAGACACACACACAGACACACACACACACGTATACACACACAGGCCCAAGTTTCAAACAAATAACCCTCAAGGGACCAACTAGATCTAAATTACAGCACATGGAGACAGTAAACACCACACACTTCAAAAGTGATCATTTAATTTAGCAGAAAATTTGAAAGCAGCAACTGCAGAGTCAAAAGTACCCCATTGCTTATGTTAGTATGATACGTACTCCTGCAAAATGAAGTAAATATAGGAAACTAAGAATCCTTTTCTTTAAATAAAAGATTTAATTATGTGCTTAGAAAATTCAAGAATAGTAACCAAAACTTATTAATGGTGACTAAAATTCAGAAAAAGAAATGTGAAGAAAATGGTTATATTAGTGTGAGGCTTTGCTCCTTTTTAATCACTGCCTAGCATTAGAACATGTATAGGAGTTAATGTCAAAGAAAGAAAATTATAGTAGAAAGTGCAGGTCACACATACTCATGAGACAGTAAGAAGGTCACAGTTTTCAAATTAGTTGACATGGTCAGTCTATTAATTGATTTATTCAAGTTATAAGTGAATTGTTGAATCTTAAATATAAGCCAAGATACTGGGATAAGACAATTGCGACAGCTACCATGGTGTCGGCCCTTGTATAGTTCCCAGTCATTGGAGGAGATGGCTGTTAGACACAGAGGAATCATAAAGGTGATAAAGAGTGAGGGTAAGGCATAAGGAAATGCACGCACTACCCTACAAAGGCACAGGGAGGCTCCTCAGATGTATTTTTAGTTTAGAAATTTTCTTTTCTTTCTTTTCTCTTTTATTCTCTTTCTTTTCTTCTCTCTCCTTCTTTCTCTCTCCCTGTCACACACACACACACACACACACACACACACACACACACACACACACTGACACACACACAAACACAACACAAAGCCACAACATTCTGGGGTTTGCTCTCAGGGCCTTACCCTTAACAGACTGGCTTATACCTGGTGCCACACCTCCAGCCCTGTTTTTCCCTGATTACTTTTAGTACGAGTCTCCGTTTCTGCTCACTTGTGTATCAGAATTGTGGTCCACTTATTTTTAGGCTTCCCATTGTCCTAGAATCTCAGGCAGTCATCACTGTGCCCATCTTTCCTCTGGAAATGGAATATTGAAGACTTTAATGCCCAAGCTTGCCTAGCACCATGATCCTCTCAATTTTAGCCTCCCACATACTTTGAGATATTAGGTGTGTGCTCAGCTATGGGTTGAAAAGTGGGTCTAATGGACTTTTCTTCCCGGGCTGATTTTGAACCATGATCCTCCCAATCTCAGACTCCCAAGTATATAAGATAACAGGTGCAAGCCACAGGTGGTGAGTTCTATCTCATTTTTAAAATACAAAAAAAAAGAGAGATAAATCTCAGTCTTGTCAGTACTGGATAGGTTGGCAAAGAAACAATGTTGTAAACCTTGAATTTCATTCACCTGACTGGGCTTCAGATGACATTTGGATCTTTTTAAATGACAAAGGTTTGTCATCATCGAGAATATGCAAAGAAGTATTTTTAAGCTCTGCAAGTGCTCCCTGAAGAGACGCGACAACCCTCTGAGCAAGGCAGCATCATTACAATAAATGTCAAACACCCCAAAGGGACTACTATGAAGGAGGCAAGCCTCTCTGAGAGAAATTGATGTGGGATTGAAGTACGCATTCTCCTTACTGAAATACCATCCCTTTTATGGCAGGGCGGCCCTCACTCTGCAGAGCTCGGTGAACCAGGCTGCAGCATTTCCTTACACTGCTGCCCTCTCCCAAGCACTGAAAGAGAATGAGTTTCTTAAATAGCCTTGGTTGGCCTGGGAACTAGGGTGAAATGACCTGGATTTGGGTCCCAGCCCAGCCTCAGGCTGTAACCTGAAGACCACCATTTAATCTGTCTAAGCCTCCCTTTACTTCCAAATCATTTTACTATATAAAAAAAATTGCAAACAAATAGCAAAGCCGAGGGACTTTTACAGTGAACAGACATCATCCTCCCACCTGGATTTTCTCCACATTTGACTCCAGTTTCCTTTGCCACAGATCTTTCCATCCACTCCTCAATCCACCTTCAGTTTTGATAGATTCCACACTAAATTCACAGATGTGCATCCCACTAAATATTGCAGCACAAATATCATTCATCAGAGTTGGATTTTGCTTACATTTGTTTTTGTTGGCTGTCAAGTTCACATATATTAAAATGCATGAATATTGAGTGTACCTTTTTTTCAAATTTTCTTCAAAGTATGTATGTCAGCTGGGTGCCAGAGACTCACATCTGTAATCCTAGCTACTCAGGAGGCTGAGATCTGAGGATTGAAGGTCTAAGGCAGCCCTGACAAGAAAGTCTGTGTGACTCTTATCTTTATTCGACCACCAGCACCCTCCCCCATAAAAAAAAAAAAAGCTAGAAGTGAAGCTGTGGCTTAAGTGATAGAGCACTAACCTTGAGTACAAAAGCTCAGGGACAGTGCCTAGAACTTGAGTTCATGTCTAGTACCAATACACACACACACACACATACATACACACACACACACACACACACACACAGAATGCATGTCAGTGTAACTCAAATCCTTAGAGATCATTGTGTGCTTAAGTCTCTTTTTCTTATTGCTTTTTTAAAAAAATTAATATTAGATTTAAGTAGTTGTACAGATCAATTGCCTTTTAACAAATCAGTTTATGAATACAATCTGTCTTAGTCAATGCCACCCCTTTCAGAGAATTATCTCCAAGGGTTGTCAGAAAGATAACAAGAGCTAATGGGAAAAGTAGCTGGTAGCTTATGTGAGGTCAAGGGTAGAACACTGTCTTTACAGTTGTAATTAATATGATTATTATCTCCTTGATGAGTATTGATTTTAAATATGAAGCAAACTTAGAGGGTGACCATTTCAGTTACTCCTTATAACCTGCACGACTCTAAAAGCTATTGCCATCCCAATGTTAATCGTTACGCAATTTGCCTGCAAGTGTTCTCCCATGATGAGGGCATGATGCTTGTGTGACATCAATTGCAGTAGTCTGGAAAGTGAGGTGTCTGAGATCTGTCTGGCAAAGTTGAGATGACAATATTCTCTTCTCTTGATTCAGTTACCTTGGCTCTGTTGCATTTTCTAAGCTGTTTGACTCTGGCTTTCCTTTTTACAATATGGACATTTTCCTAATGTTATTGGGTGCTGAGGAATCCTCATTATTAATCCTGTCAGCAGCTCAATTATTATGGGTTTGGTTATTAAAATGATACTATAGAGAAGACTGTAATGGACTGGCCTTGAATTTGACCTGCCTGAAAAATATCAGGCAAGTGTTGGAAGGACACAAAAGAAAGTCATAACAGGTATGGCCAGAGCATACATGCAGTAAAAAGCAAGTGGCTAGTCTCAGAGATGAATTATTCCACAGGGTTTTCTGGGGTTGTAACTATGTATGTGGTCACAGAGACTATGTGGGTTATAAACTATAAAGAGTCTGAGATATCATTCTACTCGCAAGCTAATAAGTAAAACTTCCCATTTTACAGATGCCAGCAGAAGACATAAGAATGCCAAATGAAAGTCATAGGATCTCTTTATACTATAGCAAGAAGAATGAATTTCAAGTTTGTATTGGTTCCCTCCAGACCCCAAGTAGCCATGCAAAGTATACAGAAAAAAAGATAGAGAAATTTAGTCTTTGGTATCATATTTGAGCTATTACTTTGAAAACTTTGTGACAGTTCAACTTCTGGATAATTAATAAATATTCTCATTATGTTAGTCCTTTCAATTGTGTGTACTATAAGTTGAATCCAAGACTCACTGTATATGGCAAGTTAAAAAATTAGATCATTTCTGAAATGGACAAAGGGTGAGACAACCATGACAAAAAGAGGAAGAAAAGATGTAGGCAACATTTTAGAGGAGAAATTAAAATATGCTGTTGCATTGGATCGGAAATTAATAGTACAAATAATATATGTGAGCATAAAAGTGGAGATCCTTAGTAGACATTAGAGCTGTGAAATTCAGACGAAAGAGCTGATGGAGAAGCTGTTTATACAAATGACATTCGATGGTATGCATATTATTTATTGGTTTATAAGGATATTTATTGAAATAAAGTCCAGGAAAGGACAACAAGTAACTCCAACACTTAAAGTTTGGTTCGAATATAAGGGTCCTCTCTCCCAGGGGGATGTAGCTCTAAGCATAATATGCAAAGAAAAGAAGGAGACGTGGGAGGAGAGACGGCATATTTGTAATTGTGGAGCTGTTTGAGGGTACTGGATGGAGGGAGGAAGAAAAAAGAATGGTAGAAAGGAATTAAGTGAGGTATCCTTCTTGGAAAAAAGAGATGAATAAGTTAAAGACCACATGAGATGAATCACATAAATTGTGAGGGAACCCTGATTCAGAAACAAGAAAATGTACCATGTACCTAAAAGAAACTCAATAGAGATGGAGAGTTAGTAGCATGCAAAGCAGAATGTTGGGAAATGGGAAGAGGTGAGCCATAGGGCCATGGTTGGGCCAGGTTTAAAGCTATACTAAGAAGTGTCAGTCTTATCCCTAAGGCAGTGGAAGTGCCTTAGGGACACCGAATTGGACAGGAAGTACTCAAGGTATTAATTATAATAGAAGTTCTTCTACCTAAGTTTCTACTTAAGTATGCCAAATGGCCAACGCTGTTAAAAGAATAATGCCTGGGTTTTTATTTGAAGTGTCTGACTTCATGAAATGGAATTTCTTAGTACCTTTCATTCTATCTTCTAAAAATCATGAATATTTGGTATATATATAATTTGCTGGTGAAAGGCCCTGAACTCTGGGCTGGGTGCTGTCCTTGAGCTCTTCAGCTCTTCAGCTCAAGACTAGTGTTCTAGCACTTGAGCCATAGCACCATTTCCGGCTTTTTCTGCTTATGTGGTGCTGAGGAATCGAACCCAGGGCCTCATGCATGCAAGGCAAGCACTCTACCACTGAGCCACCTTCTCAGTCCTAAATATTTACTTTAGAGTAAGATTGTGTAGATTATGTACCTCTGATCAGCTAAACAGATGTACCAATATAGAGAAAGTGGCACCACAAATCAAATTGTTCTCACTCTTGAAGTGAATGTACTCTACCTGCAGACACCAGAGTAAGGTGAAAATTGTGATTTCTGACAGGACTTAGACAGAGGCTTTTTATTTTAAAAATACAAAAATGTCTACTCTATATACAGCAAGAGAAATGAGATGCACACAGATCAATGGCTGTCACTGGAAATCATCTTCGTTGGTCCCTCTTTTCTTCCTTCTTACAAGTCTTCTGTTCTGCCTCTTCTATACTTGGAACAAACGTGGACAATTGTCACTCTGGCCTTCTTGCCTAGAGGTGGTCTAACATCACCATTCTAAGTCACTTGCAGAAGACATGTCTATGGTCTTTGTACACAAATGGGCATTGACAAATGTGACTTTCTACCTCTACTTTATCATATGTCGGCAGCCTCTTCACATCTGGAATGTCCACATGGACTAAAAGTCGTCTTTTAAAAGGTTGGGGGAAGTTGAGAACAGCTTCTTCGTATTATATGCACAAACCTACCAGCCAGTGAGCACCTGTGTCCTCACTTCCTTTTCTCCACTGGGAACAGCCCAACTGCCTGGGCCACCAACTGTGGCACCTGCTGTCATCCGGGGCTCCGCTCACCTTCCAGGACCTTTAGGGCTTTCATCTGTCCTTGTTGCAGGGGGAGGTCTCCCGTGGTAGGGCAAGCAGGTCACTTCAGGTCCCGGGCTCCGCGGTCTAGAATGCTGGCTATCTTCCAAGGCTGCCTGTGGTCTCCTCCTCCAGCCCGTGAAAGCCTCAGCCATTCTTCTGGCCTTCCTGCAACGCTCCACCACCACCCAAGGGCGTCGTGTCCTTGGCAGCCGGGCAAGGCCTTTGTCTGGACCCAGCAATGTGGAGCCTGGGCTCTGAGAGACCACCACCGCCATCAAGTCACCCCAATGGGGCTCGGGGCTTGCAGGGAGCTGGCTGCCATGACTTTAGAAGCAAAATTTAACATCTGTACTGGTGACTGTGTGCCTGTATCAAGTGTGATAGTAGAAAGGAGTTGAAAGAAATGAAAGGTTCTAGGCTAGAATAGAATGCTCCCACCTAAAAGACACTTTCAGATAGAACCATTGTTACATGTGTGTGGTTTATTCAACACTACTGTGTATATAGTGGACAATTAAGTCCTTATTTGAAACATCTGGTCTCTTTAGATGTTTATAAGTGCACAAAGTAGAGGTAGTAAATAATTCATTTTGTAAAATAAATACAAAAATGTGCTGCACAAGCATGGAAATGTGAAAGGAGAAAGATAAAAGTCAAAAGTCTGGTGCCAACTAGAAACAAGAGAAGACAAATGTCCTTGCACATGAAGATTTCACATTTACTAGGCGGGAAAGAAGGCCAGCTACTTTCAGGCTTTCACAAATAGCATGACTTGTAAGGGAAGCCAGCCAGACCCGCCAATGCCTTTACAAGACCAAGAAACAGATTGCACAAAGCTGATTGGGCTGAGGCTCAGCATCTAGCTTTACATATCTCAATTATGTTCATGTTCATATACCTCATCTGAGGTCCTGCTCAGATGGAAGTTAATATCCATATTTGTAAAGACAACTAAAAACTGTTCTATACATTTATGTGTAATTAACACAGCGTTACTGTTATCGCTATTTGGGAATGAGTAGCTTTGTATCAAAAGCCCTGGTGCAAACTATTTCACTCACACTTAAAGGAGGAAAGCCACATCCACACAAACTCTCCCTTGTTAGCATCTCTATCTCCAGGCCTGGCCAGTACTTGACCCATTCTTTCAAGTGACCAGTTCCAGGAGCCTCTTAGTTCTGAACAATGACTAGGGATCATAAAGGCAGTTAATATGTATGGGTACTTAGTTTGTGCCAACGCCAAATGCCTCCCTTTGATTGCTTCATTTAATGATAATCATAACAACTTTATTTTTGTCATGATTTACAGACGAGGAAACAGGCACAATGAGTGAAGGGACTGGTTCAGGTCACACAATAGAAAGAAAGGGGAGTCAGAATTCCAGTGTAAATGGCACCTGAGCCCATTGTTTAAATCACTATGACACACCTGGGGTGAACTTTGAATGGTCTGAGCTGCTTTCTCTGTCAGATGGGGCTGACATATATCTGTGGACGTTAAAGCCCAGATCATCATGGGAAATAAGTTTGGAACAGATAATGCTAACATGACCTACTTTGTTTGCATAAATACCTCCGCTGATCTAACAGAGTAAAGTATATACCAGGGTTGGGGGAGTAGTTTGAATGAAACACTTATGACCTCTGAAGAGTGAGACAATCCATCAAGGCACAGTGAAAAGTGAACAAAAGAAGTTTATTTACACTATTTACACCAGAAAGGGGTCCTGCGACTACCCTGTCCTGGGCTAGATACCCAGAACCAAGAGCAGCCTCGACCACCAAACCTTCAAGCCTCCAAAGGGCAGCTCCGACCCCCCCATCTTTATTAGTTGATCTGCAAACCTCCAACCCCAGACCTCCAAAGCTCCAAAGCTCCAAAGGGGAAGGCTTTTCCCTTTCTTGCCTTCCTCCTTCTCTGCAGGCCTCTCCACTCTCCACAGGCTTGTTCTGCTCTGGTCCAGAGGCTCCTCTCCAAGATGGCTTCTAGAGGAGGTCCCAAATGGCCTCCAGAGGAGGCCCTGAATGACCTCCAAAGGAGACCCCGAATGACCTCTGGAGGAGGCCCCAAATGGCTTCCTAGAGAAGCCCCAAATGGCCTCTCGAGTCTTGCCCTGCCCCCCCCCCCCCCAGCCTGCCCTGCTCTGGCAGGCTTTCCCCTCCTGTGATCTCTCTCTCCACTCCTACTACCCTCCTCCTCGCTCTGCTCTCCCTTCCTCCTTCAGGACTAATGGTTCTTCCCCCTAAGGTTTTCCAACGGTCATTCATGCTCCTCCCCCAAAGCTGCCCACTGCCCAATCACTTCTTGACAGCTGGCCATGTGGAGTTCAACGCCCCCATCCCCTCCTGTAGCGCACTCCACCCCTTTTGGTCGGTGGGCGCCCCGGTGGGCGGTGAGGTCTGTGGATCGGTGAGGCTCGCCTATGCCCCGCACCCTCCAGCAGGCTGGGCCACAGCGCCACGCTGATTATCAGGGCACGCTGATCATTGGGGCCCCGCTGATTATTGGGGCCCCATGGATTATTACAAAACTAGGAGTAATTTCCTTCTTCTATACAGGCTTCATCAATGACACCTTGAGGTAGTAGGGTCATTTATTTTTTTCTGGAACCTCATAAGCTCAATGTGATTATCATTATACATTAGCCCAGTTAAACATGTTTTTTAACTCAGAATTATGCATGTGTGTGTGTGTGTGTGTGTGCGTGTGTGTGTGTGTGCCAGTACTGGGGCTTGAGCTCAGGGCCCTCAGGGTCTTGAGCAAGTTAATGAATGCTCTAGCACTTGAGCCGCAGTTCCACTTTATTATTATTATTATTTTAATTAGAGATAAGAGTCTCACAGACTCTCCTGCCCAGGCTGCCTTTGAACCTACATCCTCAGATCTGTGGCTAGGATTATAGGCATTAGCCACTGGTACCTGGCTAACCTACAATTCTGCATTCATCATTATCCAAGTAAATTAATTCCCACCAGGACACTTGTGGTTCCACATTCCTTAGAAAATGTTCTTCTTATTTGGTAACTTTCATTACACTTCTAACATATCATCCAACAAACTCAACTCTCAATAACTTCCTCACGATTTGAGAATATAAAAGTGATTGAAAGCAGACTTCCCCAAGTGTCCATGTCGTATCCAACTGACATGATAGGAAACTATACATAGGAGACTATGTGTTCTAGCATCTCTCCTGTCAACAACGCATATAACATCCCAGATCTTCAACAAAGTCAATCTCTGTATTTGTATGTGAAATTTCAAGTTTTTGGATGAGTTTTATCAAGTCCTCTTGGTCCAAACAATTCTTTAATAGAATTGCTTATACTGGGAATTGCCTAACTCCCCTTTCATTCTTTCCTCACACGTTTGTTCTCACCTTTCAACCTAAAGACCTCAAAATTGCTAAACCCAAAAGTTAACACTTCATTATATTTAAACCATAAGTGACATAGTCACCCACTCCTTCTTCATTCAAACTATTTCCTTTTATAAATTTAATTTTATTGTCAAAGTGATATGCAGAGGGGTTACAGTTACATACATAAGGTAGTGAGTACATTTCTTGTCGAGTTCGACAAGAAATACCCCTCCCTCATTTTTCTCCTGACTTTCCCTCCTCCCACCCCCCAAGTTGTACAGTGCATTTCCAACATATTGCCTCCTGAGTATCGATGTTGCATTGGTTCGCCCTTTGTCCCGCCATTTTTTTTGTTCTCCTTCCCTTCCCTAATTCAGATAAATGTATGTATATACAATACCCAGGGGTCTTCATTTTACTTCCAAGCTACCCTAATTCTAATTTTCTAGTTTCCCCTCCTATTCTTCTTTGTTATTTCAAATTAGTATCTCTGACCTCAAAACACTGGACTTTTCCAAAGCTCAATCCTTGAAACTTTCTCATTCCCATTAGTATATCAGTTTCATATAGAAGCAGATGACCTCCAGATTTATAGCATAAACCCCGCTACCAACCTCAGCTACTGATAGATCATGTACCTATTCAAGGAACTGGCATTTCAACTTTATCCATTGTTAGGTAAATGTAAGGAAAAGTAAGAAAGGATATACGGCAGACCCCATTAGTCACCAACTCAAAATCTATTTCTCTATCTGTTCCTTGCTAGCTATGTTTTGGGAAAGAAAACCCATACCTATTTCCAAGGTAAATCTTATAGTCTCAAGCTGTGATGTAGTACTCACGTCAATCATTTGCTTAGGAAAAGTCATTCTTGGCCAGTATGAGGTGAAATCTTATGGAGGGACTCTGAGAAAGAATGCTCCCTTGACAGATTCACAGAAAGCAATGGCAGTCTTCTTTCAATGGACTTTTCGGGACAAGCTAGGTAGGGTCTGGATGGCATGCCGAGAGTTATTTTAGCCAACCAGCAACACAGAGCTGTTCTTTTATCTTTTCTATTGTGAAAATACTGTATAGAGGGGTTACAGTTACATGAGCAAGGTATTGAGTATATTTCTTATCAAGCATTGTTTCCTCCTCCTTTGTTTTTCTCCTAGTATCCCTTCCCTCCCAACTCCACAACTACACTCCCCACCCTCTTGCCTAAATTGTAAAGTTCGGATTTTGACATAGTGTCCTGTACATCTCATTGTTGCAATGCATCGGCCTGTATTCCTATTTAAACAATTTGTTTCTTCCTTTCCCCTCCCCAAATTATACCAACATCAAATATAGTGAAAACAGGGGTTATACTATGGGGGAGGGACATATAAGGAGTGCTTAATAATAATAATAATAATCATACCTTTGCAATAGTTCATCCTGGAACTGTTATAAGGCTAAACTTTTAGTATTGAGCACACAAATGCATCTTATTGTTTAAGTCAGAGGTGAGGATATTTATTTTACCTGCAGCTTACACATTAAAACAAACATGCTGGGTAATTTTTTAGGGGTATGTGTCTCTATAATCGTGCCTATGTTTAACAAGAATAATCAAAATCATTTCTCTTCTGCTTATGTGTTCATTCCTTCTAAGCAGCCACCGAATAGCTGACCATGAGGTGGTCAGCTGATTTCTCTACTTGAACATTTGTTGGGTTGAGCATGCCTTCTCACCACCCAGGGAGAGGCATATTTGAAGTTTTCAAAAAGGAATTTTATACAGAAATGGTGTCAATTTCTACCTCATCCCCTTTCTCTTCCTCCTCCTCTTCTTTATTCAGATCTTCTTCCCACTTCTCGTTATTGTTGTTTTGTTGGCTTAAGAGTACAGAGGAGATGCACAGTTTCTGGGTAACATGTCAGTCCCTTTTGTCTGTTGAGGTTCTCTCTGGAATAGAAAAGGGATGTTAAATAGCTCCTAAGCAAGCACAACGTTAACACTGGTGATGCTGTCCATGCTGTGAATCAGTCATTTGTCTCTTTCAGACTTGTGCTGAATAATCTTGATTTTAAGAAAACTGGTGCTCTTGAGTCATCATATATTCATTCATTTAATGAATGCTTATTGAGCTTCTACGACAAGTAATCTATTGGTATAGGAGAGGTAGAATTGGTGCCGAACAAGACAGACAATGCCTCTGCCTTTATTGGTTT